AAGTCTTTTTCACTTTCCCCAAGTTCTTATAGCTGCTGCCCACATTATCTGTATTTACTCCTCTTTCTCAAACTGACTTAGAAGTAATATCTGCTGAAGGTCAGTATATGCTGCCTCTAACCTGCGCTGGCAATCTGGGATCATCATCCGGGACTCTTGCAGGATCTCTGCCTGCTTTTTAATGGCATAATTTTCACCATCTTCAGCTTTCATTTTTTCAATCTTTTCTTCTTGTTGTTTTGCTTCTTTTTCATACATCACTTTTTCTTTGACTAATCGCTTCACCACGCCGGTCTTGATCTTGATCTGCCTCACACGGGGATCGGCCATAGCGCCTGGACTCGCGGGCAAGAGGGGCGGCCTAAGTTTCTTTTTGTTTAAGAAAGCAAGCTTCTGCTTAAGAGGGACAGAAGGAGACCAGGAAAGTGGGTTGCCCACCCTGTTTCTCAGGGGTGTTTGTTGAGCAAAGCTGCAAGGTGAGGCTGGTTCAAGAAGAGACAGACTAATGAACCAGTAAGATTATAAGTACAGTCGCTTATGTAGCACTGATCCAATGGGAAACCACAAAGTGGGTATGATGTGGGACAGGACAAGAGCATGATGAACCAGTAAGGTTACAACAAGTATAGTTGCTGGGGTAATACTGACTAAATGGGGATCAAAAGGGGAAGCAAGTCAGGTGGCAAGTCCACAGGGGACACACAAGGACTTTGCAGGAAGAGGTGGGTTAAGGAGGCTCCGTCCTCCACCCCAAGGTGATTGATGCCCTACTTAAAATATTAATCATTGCTGTTCATCCCTAAGGGAAGTATGTGGATGAGCAGCTCTTTCTCTTGAAGTCCGGCCTTCAGTGAATGTGCCTCCAGCTACAGCTTTCTTCTGTATTGACCTCCCAACAGCCAGCCTTCTCTGATTGCCTACAATGTTTCTACCTAACTTAGCTGTCTGTAATACTCCTGCCATGAAGAAGTACCCCCAACTGCTGTGAAGGGCAAGGGGCAAAGACAAGTCTGGCTACTTCCAGCTGAAGAGGGTTGTAATTGTGATCAGCAGTGAGAGATTCTCCACAGAAGGTCTATCTAAAGGCCCTCGATAGGTGCAAGGTGTTGTTTGGGTAGACGCACAGCTTTAAGGCCCTGTCCAATTGTCTCAGTGGAAGACCTCCAAATGACAAAGGGAAAGAAACTCCCAACCTGCTAGATAGCTGAAACATCAACTTTGTGTTCTCTGAAATCAAGAAATGTTCTATAAATTCTAGGAACAAAGGAGGTTAAGAGTCGGAAGAATTTGAGAGAAAGCAAGCTTCTGTCTATGAGGGATGGAAGGGGACGCCAAAGTGGGTTGCCTGTTTCCTTTCTATCTTCATAGTTCTATTTTTCATTTATCTAGTTCATCTGCCCAAAACTTTGCTTATCAGAGATCTAGGCAAGAACTTTTCAAACCACTAGTAATGGAGTCACCAAATATCAGTGAAAGTAATGATGACACGTTCTTTATAGTAAGCAGGAGAAGAGAGGGGCTGAGATCTGGGCCATGGAGAGATGGTCACTCAGCGGAGACTGTGGGAAGCTAGGCTAGAAGTTGGCTGGAGGATCAAGTTATGAGAGGAAAAAGAGACCAAGTGGGGCATTAAAGGATTAAAGAAACAGCTCTATTGAGGCAAACTTGAAACCTAGACAGACATTTTGTACCTCGAAAGGGTAAATAGCTCGTACAGCAAAATTCCCAGGAAGTCCTCAAATCAGAATTTTACAAGCTGGATGGAGAATTGGTTCTACTTGTAACAAAGAATCATTGTGACCACATAGAAAAGACACTGCTTTTTGGAACTCAAAACGGCTTTGACCTTTAACTGGAGACTGTCAGAGGGGCAGATTTACAGGGTATGCTAGGAGACCGCAGGAGACTCAAGAAGCAGGAAAGGCTGGAGAGAACTGCAAAATACCAGTGTCTCCTCAGTATAAAGTGGATAAATCAGTTCAGAGCGATTGAACAATAGGGTCAAGGCCACACTGTGCCTTGTCAGCTATTGTGTTTAACTTTCCCAAACTGGCACAGGACCCACCTTTGTGAATGTCAACAGGATCTCGTGTTCTCTGGCTTCCTGTTGCCCCTTGGGAGATACCTGCAGGAAACTCTAGGAAACAAGAAAAGAGAAATGAGGGTGTGTGTTCCCCAGGTTCTCCTTTCACTAAAGGCAAGGATGGTGCCATTCTGAAGATCTTCTCTCACTCTAGCTTTTTGCAATTTTCCATAAGCACCCCTTCCCTGCCTTTCAGGCCTGGGGTCACACTGTTCTTCCCCCAAATGCTGCTACCTCTGCGTATCCCCTCTTCCTCTTGGCTTCCCTCATCCCTTCCTCCCTTTCATATTCTCTCTCCACGTTGCTCCAGGTGCACCTCATCTCTTTCCCATGCAGCTCAAAGATAGTGACCACGAAGCCAGCTTCTTTACAAGGTGATACTTGTGAATTTTCAGGGCTCAATGTCTCTTTTGGCTGCCCAACCTCAGAAATCCATACTCACATCTGGAAACTCCCACCATGGGAATTTCGGTGGTAACACAATTCACCCTCTCATAGGATGTGGCCGTGCTGGCTACTGGCTTTCCTAAGCTTCCCTCACAGCTAAGGTTTGGACATCTGACCTAAGCTTTGAGGGACAGAGGCACACACCTGACTTCAAATGAGGAGACAGTGACACAGAGACACGGGGCAGTGCGGAGGCCTGGACTAGCGCTGATGGCCGTGGAAGTGGCACTAACCTGTCTCTGGAGAAGTCCAGGCTCTAAGGCCAGTGGTTGCTCCTAGTGGCCATGGGAAGGGTTCAGGTAGGGTTAGCAGAAGTGGAGGGTTCTGGGATCAGATTGGCCCAGTGCCTCTGCCATCTTGGTGTCTAGGTTTGGTACTGCAGCCTTCCCAGCAATCAGCGCCGGACTCCCCAGTTTCTTCTCCACTGAGTCCTCTTCTGCTTAAATTTCCACAGAAGGTCTATCTAAAGGCCAATTTCTGTTTGCACTTGCAAATTCCAGTTTCTTGCAATCCAAGTTCAGATGGCAACCAGGCCTCACAAGGAAACAGAAACAGTCAAGGCAACTATCTCCCTGTGCCTCTCACTTTGGTTTCCCCTCTCCCTTCCTCTCCCCTCCTCTCCCCTCCTCTCCCATCCCCTCCCCTCTCTACCCCTTCCCTCCCCTCCTCTTTCCTCCACCTTTCCCCTTACCCT